ATAAGGCTCTGTTTTTGTGGTGAGGGGGGGGGGGGGGGAAAAAAAAAAAAAAAAAAAAAAAAAAAAAAAAAAAAAAAAAAAAGAGAGAGAGAGAGAGAGAGAGAGAGAGAGAGAGAGAGAGAGAGAGATGGTGGGATCGAGATCCGAAGAGGGGGAAAGGAGAAAGAGTGCGGGGTGCGGTAAGTGCGAAAAGAGCGGGAGGCTTCTAGAATGCGCCACGTGTCCGAGAGGGTATCATCCTTCTTGCTTGACGCCGCCGATCTCGTCTTTTCGGAAGGTGCCAAAGGCCAGACGGTGGACATGCCCCCGATGTTGTGGAGAAGGGGGAGGGAGGTTCATCGAGAAGAGTGTCGGCACTGCGAACGACTCTGTGGGCCATGGTTGTGCTGAAGCGTTGGGCGGAAACTCGAATCTGGACTGTTCCTTTCCCGCGAGGAAGAACAGGAAAAGTTCAGAAGGATGCGCTGAAGCTGCCGATACTGCGACAGCGGGAGTGGAAAGGGATGGGGGCGGGAGGAAAGGAAGGAATGGTGGCGGGATGAAGCCGCCTATGCGTAGTGACAGAGGCTTGTTGCCATCTCCAACAGTGGAAGACGGCGAGACCGCTGTGAAAAAAAGAGAGGCGGATGGAACGACTCATCTTGATGATGGGGTCTGGGATCGGGATCGGGATCGAGATGAGAGGGTGGCGGGTAATGGAGAGGTGCTGGTGGCTGACTCGGAGGAGGAGGAGGAGGAGGAGGGAAAAGCAGCGGGAAGGCCTGGAAGACGCGGCCGGAGGAGCGGCATGGGAAGATGGAGACTGAGAGGGGGGGAGTGGGTAGGGCAAACACTGTCAGGCGGGAGAAGCCGGGGACGGCTGGGGGGCAGAGCTAACGAATCGACCTTGGCGGCTGATGAAAGTGCAGCAAATGTTGCAATCGATATGGAAGAAGAAGTCTGTGATATGAAAGTCGGTGAAGAAAGGGAGACAGTAGAGCGGATCGAGCCTTGTGTGGAAATGGTGGTGTCTATCTCCTGCGGTGGGCAGGGCGAGGAAGATCCCAATAAGCAAACCGTGGGCGCTCGTCAGAGTGACATTTCTGGGAGAGCTAAGGGGGGGGGAGGGGGGGAAGGAAGCAATGGTGAGCGGAGGCGGCCAGGGATGGTGCAAGGT